GGATAAATATAAACCTACAGGATGAAACCAGTGAATAAGGAATTAACATTATAAACAGTATAAAATGTACAAGCTCTGTGCAAAGTATAAAGCTCCCTATATACACGAGTAATAAAAAACCCTTAACCTATGATTGGCACACAAACAGACACAAAATCTCAAAGACACAAAACACACGAGAATCTGGAGATCTTAACCAATAAACACCAAGAACTTTCCTACTGACTCGGGACCCTTAAGATCGTGTCGAGGTCTTAATCGACTTCTTCCATGCGAGACGTGTCTTCGTCGTCGCCTTCGAGTGCTGGCATCTCCTCCTCGTTGACCTCTGACCCTTCTTCCAGTGGGGTGTCCTCCTCGTCGATTCCCAGGCCCAGTTTGATCATTCTGTAAGTGGGTTATGCAACAGGGGTCAAGATAAGGTGCTTCAAGGTTGGGATAAACGCGATAAGATACAGGGGACCTTGAGAAACATGAATGGTATTCGCGTTGACAAATGTAGAAATGGTGTGAATGAGAATGAATATCTTCACAATACAAGAGATGCGTTTGATTAGTTTGGAATAGATCTTCGTCAAAAATCATGTATTTCTCACGAGATATACGAAACCGGTCAAATACATCTCTTGTATTGTGAAGATATCCGTTCTCATTCATATCTTTTAGGCCTTAAGAAACGATACGTATTTCAAGGATGATACTGGAGTTGATAATGTAAACATACAACCTATAATAACCAAGTATATTCCAAGGATAATGAAGAACTGAAACCCACATGCCACGGACTCTCACCTGTAGATGCGGCTGGCGTGGACACCTGGGTCTTCGAGGCTGAATCCGGACGACAGAAGGGAGCTCTCGAAAAGAAGCATCACAAGATCCTTCACAGATTTGTCGTTCTTGTCAGCATCAGCCTTCTGTCTTAGGGTTTCAGCTGTGGTCAGGTGCTTCTTGGCGTAGCCCATGGTCGACGGTCACGATGCACAGGGGAGGTCACCAGGCGGTTGCTCACCACCACCTTCTCCACGCGCTTGTCCAAGATGTCCTTCATTACCTGAAAAAATGAAATTAAATAAGATTAGATTTCGTCTTTGATGTAAAATATTTAAGAAATCCGATTACTAGATCATTTCTTATTGAAATTTTGGTCATTTAATGGATTTAGAAACAAGATCCCACCTTGCACAGGTTCTCGAACTTGGTCTTCTGTTCTTCGTACTTCTTTTTCTCTTCCTCGTCCTCGGGCAGTTCCAGCCCTTCCTTCGTCACGGACACGAGCTGCTTTCCATCATATTCCTTCAGCTGCTGAACGCAGTATTCGTCGATGGGTTCGGTCATGTAGATGACCTCGAAGCCGCGCTTCTTTACCCTCTCGACGAAAGCAGAGTTCTGCACCTGTTCGCGGGTTTCGCCGGTGATGTAATAGATGACTTTCTGGTTCTCTTTCATGCGGGAGATGTACTCTTTCAGGGAGGACATCTCATCCCCTGAGGCGGAGGTGTGGTACCTCAGGAATTCAGCCAATTTCTTCCTGTTGGTGGAATCTTCGTGGATTCCAAGTTTGAGGTTCTTGGAGAAGTTCTCGTAGAACTTCTTGTAGCTTTCCTTATCGTCAACGATTTCTTCGAAGAGTTCAAGGGTCTTCTTTACGAGATTCTTCCTGATAACCTTCAGGATCTTGTTCTGTTGCAACATTTCTCGGGAAATGTTCAGGGGCAGATCTTCAGAGTCAACCACGCCGTTGATGAAGTTCAGGTACTCGGGGATCAGTTCCTCGCAGTTCTCCATGATGAACACGCGACGCACGTACAGCTTGATCTTGTTCTTCTGCTTGCGGTTCTCGAACAGGTCGAAGGGGGCGCGGCGCGGCAGGAAAAGCAGGGCGCGGAACTCCAGCTGCCCCTCCACGCTGAAGTGCTTCACGGCCAGGTGGTCCTCCCAGTCGTTGGTCAACGACTTGTAGAACTCGCCGTACTCCTCCTTCGAGATGTCGTCGGGGTTGCGCGTCCACAGGGGCTTCGTCTTGTTCAGCTCCTCGTCCTCCGTGTACTTCTCCTTCACCGTCTTCTTCTTCTTCTTGTCCTCGCCCTTCTTGTCGGCGTCCTCGTCCTCGCCCACGTCCTCGACCTTCGGCTTGTCGTCCTCGTCCTCGCCCTCTTTCTCGGTCGCCTCTTCTTCCTCGTCGTCTGAGACTTCCTGCAGAGAGAAACAACAATTCAGTAACGTTAAATCTCTAATTTAGTGCCGAGAAAATCCTTTAAATAACCAAGACTAATTAAGGAAAGTGATTTTACGATTTAAATTATCAATTCAAACCCAATAAAATAGTACAACTAAATAAAACTGATACGAAGCTATATCAAGGAATTACATGATGTTTTTTCCTTTATAGTTTAAGAGCTACTTTTGCTTTATATAATCTTTTTAATACTGATACGATTTTACAGGTTCTTGCAGCTGATTGAAGTATATATGTAATTGCTTTACGTAAACTTATTCATGCATGATTACATTCGAAGATCTGCGAACGACCAAGTAAACAAACTTAACATCCTAAACCAGGACGCCAGAATTCCACAACATTTATAACGAAAAACCATCGCTCTTATTGGTAGGTGATGATCATTCTCTCATTCCCTCCTTTCCTATTCTCTCTCTCTCTGTCTGTCTGTCTCTGTCTCTCTCTCCTCTCCCTCTCTCTTCTCTCTCTCTCTCTTCTCTCTCTTCCTCTCTCTGTGTGTCTCTGTCTGTCTGTCTGTCTCACTCTCTGTGCCCCTCGCTGTCTGTCTGTCTCTGTCTGTCTCTCTCTCTTTACCTTGTCCCTTTCCTTCTCGACGAGGAGCTTGATGGGATAGCCAATGAACTGAGAGTGCTTCTTCACGATCTCCTTCACGCGCCGTTCCTCCAGGTACTCCGTCTGGTCCTCCTTCAGGTGGAGGGTGATCTTGGTGCCGCGGCCGATGGGTTCGCCTGAAAACAATCAATTGGTTATTAAGACTTCATTTACACAGATTCAGATTGACAAATGAACTATAAAGATAATTCAAATCTTAGAAGTTAAATTTCTTCAGGTTTCTCTAATTAAGCGCTTTGAAATCAACTCAAAGAAAAAAAAAGCCAAAAACAACAATTGCTCCGCCCACTCACCAGTGTCGTGGCGCACGGTGAAAGAGCCTCCAGCAGACGACTCCCAGATGTACTGCTCGTCGTCGTTGTTCTTGGACACGACCGTCACCTTGTCGGCCACCAGGTAGGCGGAGTAGAAGCCCACGCCGAACTGACCGATCATCGAGATGTCGGCGCCAGCCTGCAGCGCCTCCATGAAGGCCTTGGTGCCCGACTTGGCGATGGTGCCAAGGTTGTTGACCAGGTCGGCCTTGGTCATGCCGATGCCGCTGAGGGGAAAAGGTTCGGTCAGAAAGGCGCTCGCGAGGAGAGATTTAAATTCCTAAACAAATGGAGCCTTATGACAATCTTTTCAATGCGATTTCCGTTACGTACAGTTGAAGAATAATCAATTTATATTTGAATCTTTGATTGGAGGTTTCCAAGTGAAGGAGGAAGGGAAACCATTGGGGAGAAGGAGAGCAGCCTCACCTATCGGTGATAGTGGGCGTCCTGTCATCCTTATTGGGAAGGAGGCAGGAAGGGAGGGAGAGAGAAATAGGTGGGGAAGGAAGGGAAGGAGGAAAGGAGATAGTGAGCGTCCTATCATCCTTGTTGAGAGGGAGGGAGAGGAGGGAGAGCATGATCCTCACCTGTAGATGGTAAGCGTGCTTGTTGGGAAGGAGAGATGGGGAAGGGGGGGGGGGAGAGAAAGGATAGGAGGGAAAGAAGGATAAGGGAGGATAAGGAGGGAAAGAGGGAGGGATCCTCACCTGTCGATGATGGTGAGCGTCCTGTCATCCTTGTTGGGAGGGAGAGGGAGAGGGAGAGGGAGGATAGGAGGGGAAGGAAAGGAAGGCAGAGAAAAGGGCTAAAAGGGAAGGAAAAGGAAAGGAAGATAATTTCCTCACCTGTCGATGATGGTGAGCGTCCTGTCATCCTTGTTGGGAGGGAGAGGGGAGGAGGAAGTGGGGGAGAAGGGAGAGAAAGGATAGGAGGGGAAGGAAGGGAAGGCAGAGAAAAGGGCTAAAAGGGAAGGAAATGAAGGAAAGGAAGATAATTTCCTCACCTGTCGATGATGGTGAGCGTCCTGTCATCCTTGTTGGGAGGGAGAGGAGAGGGAAAGGGGAGAGGGGGAGGGAGAGAAGGAGAGAAAGGAGGATAAGGGAGGAAAGGAGGATAGTTTCCTCACCTGTCAATAATGGTGAGCGTCCTGTCATCCTTGTTGGGCACCAGCTTGATGAAGAGGTCCTTCCCGCTCTCGATCTTGGAAGGATCCGTCAGGGACTCGTAGCGGATCTTGTCGAGGGCGTCGGACGAGTTCGAGATCAGCTCTCGCAGGAAGATCTCCTTGTTGCTGTAGAAGGTGTTGATGATCAGGGACATCAGCTGAGCGATCTCAGCCTGGAACGCGAAGGTCTCCACCTCCTCGCTCATCGTCTCCTCGACCATCTGGAGGAAAAAAACAGGAAATTAGGAACAGTCGAAACAAAAGATGTAATTATATTAAAAGCAATTCAAATTAAGTTAAAAAAACAAAAACAAAAAAAAAAGCATCAGGCTAATATGTCGTCTCCTCGAACATCTGACGGAAAAAGAGGGAATTAGGAACAGTCGAAACAAAATATTAAATTAAAAGCAATTTAATTGAAGTTAAAAAAAGCATCAGGCTCATTGTCTCCTCGACCATCTGGAGGAAAAAGAGGAAATTAGTAAAAGTCGAAACAGAAAGAAATTAAAGTTAAAAAAGCATCAAGATGTAATTAAAAGCAATTTAATTGAAGCTAGAAAAGCATCAGGCTAATATGTCGTCTTCTCGACCATCTGAAGGAAAATATAAGAAATAAAATAATAAAGAAATTAAAAGTTGAAACAAAATTAACGTAAATTTATTTGTATTTTATGGGGAATTAGCGAGCGTCGAATAAAATTAAATTATGGTTAATCATATTTTAAGAGGAATTAATAAGAGGAATTAGTGACAGTTAAAACAAAATCTAAAAAATGATTAATTACATTTTAAGAGGAATTAGTAAGAGTCGAAACAAAATTATATTACGTTTAATTATATTATAATACGAATTAACGAAAGAAATTAGTAAGCGTCGAAACAAAATTAAAATAAACAAAATAAAAGAGAAAATAAAGTCGAAACAAAATCAAATTAAACTAAATAAAAGAGAGATTAGTAACAGTCAGACAAAATAAAAATTAGCCGAAACAAAATTAGCTTACATTTAATTCTATTCGAAGAGGAATTAGCGAGAGTCAGAACATAATTATATTACGATTAATTATATTTTACGTTATGGAAGCATCACGTGACACATGTACTGTAATGAGATGACTTTACGCGGAAATTAACCCATAGTCTCATTATCTCAAATATTTATCCATTTTCGTCAAAGCATCGAGGTAATTTGTCATGATTTTGTAAAAAAAAATGTCTTTATGTATCATCAGTAATATTATTATCATTATATATCTTTATGCATTGAAAAATGTCATTATTTATCAGTATTTATCATCGAAAAACTGGTATCATTGTTATTATTATTATTATTATTATTATTATTATCATTATCTTATTATTATTATTATGCATCAAAAGATATCATTATTTATCTATCATACAAAAGTTACTATGTATCATTATTATTATTATTATTATTATTATTATTATTATTATCATCATTATTATCATATGTATTAAAAGATGTCATTATATAATTGTAAAAAAAAAATTGTAATTCTATAATTGTACAACCAGATTGTTCACTTATACATCGAGTCTGCGGGATGGAGATGCATTACAATCTTATCTCTTATCAAAGTTGCATAACTTATCAGCTAAAAATTCCCCATTAGTTGTAATACATAAATTATCATTATTATTCAATTTAAATTCATTATTATAGTTTGTAGATTCTTTTTAATAATGTCACACGATTTCCTAGTCAGTAAATTGTAATATAAGCATTAAAGAAGACAAAAGGTTTAATTAAATGCTTAAATACAGTATATAAAATCATTTATTCGAAAAAGATTAGATTGTTGCGCCGGTAAGGAGACGAGTGCCAGACGTACGACTAAAGCAGAAAACAATAACCTTATTAATCTCACGAAGACACTTTATATAAGAGAAATTTTCTATCTATATCACTTTATTTAAGGAAAATTTCGTCTCTCCATAATAATTCGAAAATCTCGTCTTTTATATGAATCATAATTTCCTTTCTCAAAATAGAGAGAAACACGAGAGGAAAACGGAAAACACAGCTTAAAGATGAAGTGGCAACTCCTAACGTGAACCGGTGCCGGCAAGTTAATATAACACGTTTCACGCTCAAACCCAGTTAAATAATGTTAAAATGGCTTCATACCACCGTCATACAGCTCCGTCTCATGATTCAAGCAATCTTAGACCATAAATTACCCTTCAAAGCTTAAGAAATGACCTTAAAATAGCTTAAAATACGTGTGGATCAATACTGAGACATCGAGAGGCGAAAGCAAGAGGCTTAACAAATAGCAAATGTCAATTTATCAGTTATAATGGCATAAAAAAAAACCTCGTGCTCCTTGACTCAGCCACGTTAGATCATGTTCTAGAAGGGAGACCCAGAGACCACGTGCGAGGGAAGGCATAACGTGGTGTAAACCTTAAAACTTCATTTTTTCTTTGAAGATTTAACTGAAATCGCTTTTATATTCGTCTAACACTGTATCTCAAATATATTTCTCATTGTTCATTTGTCATCTTTAAGAGCTGTTGATCCATAAGGCTTGTAATAGCAGGAGAATGTTCCAGAAATCGGCTTAATGTCCATTTTTTGCGATCAAACCAACCGATATTTCGCAATATTGCACTAGTACGTCCTTCCCACATCCTGCCATTGCATCCTACATCCTATTATTGCAAAACAGACATACCACGCCGCACACATCACTTCCGTAGAAATTTCTAGATAACACGAACAATTGAAGAGATTAGATCATAAAAGACTTTTAGCCCCCTATTTCAACAGCAAAATAACCACAAAACCTATTTTCCAATTAACTGAAGGTGTGGCGATCAATTTTCCAATTAATTAACTGGTGTGGCGAACTCACCTTTGCGGAGGTATGTGTGTTGGTTGGGGACGAAAGAGACACAAACTGCCTTTTGCTAATCCTGGTTGTGCAACGTGGGCTGGGGAACTGAAGGCGGGTGTGGGAGCAACTCCTTTAATATGGGATCCGCACACCCTCCTTCCCCTCCCTCCTTGCCTACCCCACCCCCATCCCAGCCTACCCTAGCCCACCCTAGCCTACCCTCCCTCACCTCCTCTTCTCCCATGCACCTCCTTCCTCTCCCCTAACCCACCTTGCCACCTCCTCCCCCTCTCCCTACACCCTTCTTCCTAACCCTAGCCCACCCTCCTCCCCTCCTCTCCTCCCACTCCCTCACCTCCTCCCCCTCCTCTCTCTCCTCCTCCTTCCGCTCCCCTAGACCACCCCGCCCACCCTCCCTCCTCTCCCTCTCCCCCCCCTCCTGCTTCTCCCCCAGCCACCCTCCCTCACTTCCTCCCCCTCCTCTCCCTCCCTCCCCTTCTTCCGACAGAGGTGGCAGAGGTCACATCCTGTTTTTCTCCTTCATTTTAAGCGAAACCAAGTTCAAAAAGACACTTATTCATTCGTCATCTATTCAAGAACATGTTGGAAATGGAATTAGAGTTCTCCTTAATGTACTTGAGTCTAGAAAGATGATAAAACAACAGGAGCTTTGTTGAGGTTAGCAACGTAGCCGTAGCAACAAGAGAATTAAAGTTGAAATGCCGGCGTTTGTGGAATCCGTACCATATGTCCTTAAACCTCCATATCCGGACCGAAAACAAAGAAATTCGAGTAAATCAAAACAGAAAAGAAATGGGAAGGATTTATTAACTGAGACATAGTAAAAGGGAAAGAAGTATCTAGAAAGGCAGGCTGCATCGAGAGTGTTCCAAACCTCTCTCTTTCACTCTCTTTCTCTCTGTCTCTCTCTCTCTTTCGCTGGAGTTTCTTCAAACCCAAACAAACCAAACCAAATGAAATAAAACACAAAAGGAACGTAAATTATTTGTTAAGAGAGACATAGCAACGGGAAAGAAATGTCTAGAACGACAGGCTGTAGCGAGAGAGTTCCAGAGCTCTCTGTCTCTCTCTCTCTCTTTCTTTCTTTTTCTCTTTCTCTCTCTCTCTCTCTTTCTCTCCCTCTCCCTCTTTTCTTTCTTTTTTTTTCTTTCTTTCTTTCTCTCTTTCTCTCTCTGTCTCTCTCCCCTCCCCCCCCCCCACCTCTCTCTCTCTCTCTATCGCTGGCGTTCTCGACTGTTCCTTCCTCCCGTTCTCGAATGGAGTGGAAAGTCGAGAAGATTCTGATAACGGCGCTGGATTTGGGGGAAATTAAGTTGAATTTATTTAAACGGAAAGATTCTATGACCTTTGTGTTTATATTTATTTAATTTGACGTTGAATCGTGGTTATTTGTTTGTTTTTTATTGTGTTGTGTTGTGGGATGTTTGTAGTTTTGATTTTTGTTGTTGTTGTTAATGATCCTACAGTGTACTGAGTTAAAATATCACACGCTTTTATAAATAATACAAAGAACATAGGTAGATGCGTAAAGACAGGCAGACTGAGAGAGAGAGAGAGAGAGAGAGAGAGAGAGAGAGAGAGAGAGAGAGAGAGAGAGAGAGAGAGAGAGAGAGAGAGAGAGAGAGAGAGAGAGAGAGAGCGAGAGAGAGAGAGAGGGGGGGGTGGACGGGGAGGGAGAGGAGAGTGAGAGAGAGAGAGAAAGAGAAAGAGAGAGAGAGAGAGAGAGAGAGAGAGAGAGAGAAAGAGAAAGACAGAGATCCAATATCACAATACGTGCTCCCAATACCCTTTTCACAATGGGCAAAACACCTTTCCTTTTATCCAAACCCGCTTTTTTATATTCTTTTTTTTTTTTTTTTTTTTTTTTTTTTTTTTTTTTTTGTAACATGATACAGAACCAACCATTTATTTCCTAAACCTCAAAGTCTAAACAACTACACCTCTTTAAACGTTACTGAAAACACCGCAAAACACCGTGATTTCAACGCACTCTTTGGGCATGGGTATAGCAGGTGGTTGTTTTGGTGTCCAGTGCCAAGGCCCGAGTGACAACCTGTGCCAACGTTTGTGCGCTGAAGTTTACGAAACGTTTGAAGTCTACGAAACGTTTGAAGTTTACGAAACGTTTGAAGTTTACGAAACGTTTGAAGTTTACGAAACGTTTGATTCTTGATTCTTGAATTTGTATTTTTGTTTATTTTGGGTTAATTATTTTGTTCTTTAATTTGTTTGGTTATTTTTTTGGGTTAATTATTTGTTCTTTAATTTGTTTTTTTTTATTTTGGGTTAATTATTTTGTTCCTGAATTTGTGTTTTGTTTATTTTGGGTTAATTATTTTGTTCTTTAATTTGTGTTTTTGTTTAATTTGTG